TCATCCCACCAAATTGGAAGTTCTAGACCTTGTCTGTTGGGAGGAAGGACTCTCAGGTTCTCAGTCTTCCTCCCCCCCCTCCCTCCTAGGAAGGCTGCCTCAGGGCTGGAGTCTGGGCCAGCCAGGGATACACAGAGCTGCTCAGATATGGGGCTGCTTGCCCCCCGCCCCTAACTTTGTCCTGGGGACAGCAGCGCAGGCGGCTCACTGAGCAACCACTCTTCATTGCTTGCTTGCTCTATTTCCATCACTTGGGACAGATGGCAGGAAATGGCGGTGGGCGTCGTGTCGTGCGGGCCCCGGGGATTTGGGGTGGGGAGGCTTTGGGGAGCCTCAATTCTCCACCCACCCCTGGGTACCTACAGATGCAGGCCAGGCAGCTAGATTCTGAGTGGGGAGCTGAGACTATCCTGAGTCCCTGCCAACACTTGCACATGCACAGAGGACTGTGGCAGGGGAGGGGAGGAGAGGGCTGGGTCGTCCCTGCCCTTCCTCTGATGGCTGCCACCTGGGCTAAGACACAAGCTCCCCACCTGGCCCTTGCTGTGTAGGCAATGAGGGTGTCTCATTAACCCAGGGGTGAACTTCATTCTGACAGCATTCTCCTGCTGGAGCGCCCTCCCCAGCCTCTACTCAGTAATCAGAAAATAGTAGCATTGACACTCCAACCACTTATGGAGCTCTTGCTATATTCCCGGCCTGTGCTAAACAGGCTGGTGTTGGATCTCACTTCTCTAGGAGGTGGATGATATTTCCCCCAGGAAGATGAGGAGACCATGGCACAGAGGAGCTAACCAACTTGTCCAAGGACACACAGCTAGTGACGAAGGGGCTGGGTGTGAGCCCAGATCTTCCTGACGCAGAGCCAGGTTAACAGCTGACAAGGTGCAGACACGTTATCTCCCCAGGCCACCATCCTCTCGTGGCCAGGGCCCTTCGAATACCAAATAGTGGAGATGGAGCTCCGTTCTGCAGCAAGCCAGCGGGCATACGTGTGTACATATGGGATGGTGCGTGAGATCCGCCTCCTGGCACTTTGCTAATGTCCGCCACCTCTACTCCCAGCCCCCACTGGTCAGCACAAGGTACTGACCTCAGGGGAGGTCCCGGCACAGTGAGTGTATCTAAGGCCCAAATGGGGAGACAACCTCAGAGAGAGGATGGACCCTGCCCAAGCTCACAGGGTCAACGGGGTGGAGTTGGGGACAGAACCTGAGGGTCACTGCTCAGAGTGCCCATATTGAGAGAGGATCTTAAAACAGAGTTAGGGTGGGCTGGGCACAGGGGTAGCATTGGTTTACCCCTTGCTTGCCCTGGAGGCATGTGCTGGAGGAGGGGAAGGGCGGGCGGAGCTGGAGATGAGGCCACTGAAGACCAGTGGCTGCTTTCCCTAGCTGAGCACCACACAGGCCCAAGCCTATGGGGTAGGGGGGCTGCTGGGCAGAGACCTGAGGCAGGAGACCAGAGATGAGAGGCTGGGCCACCTGGGAGGTGGGACTGGCCTCCTCTCGGCTGTCCTGCCAAAGCTCAGCTCCCCCTCTCCGACTCCGGCACCTGCAAGCCCCCTTGGTGCTCTCCCTGTCACGTGGCTGCTTTGTGGCATTCTAGGATGTGGGCTGATCACAGCTGACAGATGCACCTGTTCAAGGGAAACATCAGTCGGCTGGGGACAGGGAGCGGGATGGGGGCACGGTACACAGTGACTTGCCCCCCACTACGGCCTCCGCCCTGTCCAGTTGCCTTCCTGCCCTTTGTCTGGAGGACTAGCTAAGGAGGACTTGCCAAGTTCTCTCTCTTCTTTCTTTGCCTTGGAAACCAAGGTTGCCCTTCTCCCTCACAGAGGCCACATTCAGGGCTCCACAGCTGCTCCTGGGCGTCACCAGGGATGCCTTGGAGTCGGGTAGGGAGAGCAGATGGGCCCCAAGCCAGCCTGAATCAGCTGAGTGCCTCCCACTCCTGTGGAAGATTTTGATAAGAAAAGGGATCCTGAATTCAGAAGATTGGGATCCTTGCCTTTGCAGTTCTGGATCTGCAGCCCGGAAAGGGACCTGTGGCTCAAGGTCACATGGCTAAACCAGGGGACATGGCCAAGGGTGGGGTCTGGCTTGTGTGCTCACTGAAGTTTTCAGAAGGAACAACGGGCCACAAATCCATGGAGCCAGCCCCCAGCTGGGATGGGACACTCCCCCAGCTTCCCGGTTACAAGGAGCCACTCCCCCTTTGTGCTCTTCTCCCAGGACATCCCCTGCCCTCCCACCAAGCCCTTGGGAACTGGGCTTTGGAGAAAGATGGCGCAGGGTTCAAATTCCAGCTATAACACGTTTTAGCTTGCAATCTAGGACAGGCCTCAGTTTCCTCATCTATAAGTGGGTACGATACCAAGAACTACGTCGCGGGCTGCACAGGGGTCCAGGGAGATGCTGTGGGTGCAGGTCCTGTTGAGAGGCCAGGCAGGGAGAGGCCGCCACCTCAGCGATACTCCCCTCAGCCCCGCCCTTCTCTCAGACTCCACCTGAGCAACGTCAGAGCTACGTCACTCCCTATCTCAATTCGGGGCTTTGATCTCTATCTTTGAAAATGGGCGAGCAGGGGCGCCTGGGTGGCTTAGTCGGTTAAGCCTCCGACTTTCACTTAGGTCATGATCTCGCGGTTAGCGGGTTCGAGCCCCGTGTCGGGCTCTGTGCTGACTGCCAGCTCAGAGCCTGGAGCCTGTTTCGGAGTCTGTGACTCCCTCTCTCTCTGACCCTCCCCTGCTCACGCTGTCTCTCTCTCTCCTAGAAAAAAAAAATTTTAAAAAAATACATACATTAAAAAAAAAAAGAAAAGAAAAGAAAATGGGCGAGCAAATTCGGGCCCACCTCCCATAAGTGGCCTGCAAGAAGGTTGGAAGCTGGACAGATAGCTATTCCCAGTGCGTGTGCCGGGCCACGAAGACACCACTCCCTGAAGACCCAGGACGACAGCTCGCACCTGCCCTGGGAGACCCTGTGGTCCTGTTGGTTTATTTCCCCTAAGAGCTCACAGGCTGCTCCCCTCTCTGAGCCTCAGTGTCTGCAGAAGGGGAAGGGGCAGTGTCTGTCCTCCCAGGGCATCACAAGGATCCACAAAGGACGGGGTAGTGCATGGAGAGACTAAGGGATTGAACACCCACGGCATGTTATTGGGGGCAGCCATTGCAGTCCTGCTGCCACGAGAGAGGAAGATTATTTTTCGCAGTCCCCCTGCTGACCTTGGTGAGGGATCCAGTGGTGGCTTCCCTTAGGACCTCTGTCCCTGCCTGGCCCAGCACCAGAAGGTGTGGGACCCACTCCAGTCTCTGGCCAGGTCAGGAAGGCCACTGGAAGGCATAAGGCTCAGTGAGATCCTCTGGGGCCTGGGAGCCTGCTGGAGTCGCTCACCAGGCCGGGGAAGGGAGTGACCTCCAGCAGAGGAAAGGAAGAAGGACTGCCTCCTGTTTGGTGGATGGAGCGGGCTGTGTGCACCCATGTGCAGCCTGAGTGGAGAAACCCCTGCCTCTGTGTGCGTGCTGGTCGTGTGTGCAGCACAAGTCAGCCATGGGCACAGTCACAGGGCACGCTTGTGCAGTGCGCGCTGAGGCTGACGCCCGTGCCTGCACAGGACCTGTGTTGGCTGTGCTGTGTGCGCGCAGTGAGTGCATAGCGTGTATGCCGGTGACAAGGCACTAAGTTTCTCTGCTTCTGCCCTGGAGGCTGCTGGGGGGACCCGAGAAGACAGGTGAGAAAGCATCTTTCACGGTGCCCTGTTGCTGTGCTCGAAGGGTTTCATGTCATCACTTCTGCTGATCTTCTTGGCGCCCCTGGGAGCTGGATCAGAGAGGGCAGGGGTGGCCCAGGCTCTGGGGAAGTGTGGCCTGGAACTCTAGGCTGCTAGTTCTCATGGGTGAAAGAGGGGCAGGAATCCAGCTCTGGGGGTGGGAGAGGCGGGGTGAAGGTCGAGGGAGACTCCGATGCCAGCCCAATGTCTATCGTTCCTTGCTCACAAGACTCTGATTTTATTTGCATCATTTTGCCTGTCCTTCGCTCTACTTCCTGCTGCCTACACGTGCTGGCCGGAGCTCCAGCAGCCATGTTGGACTTTAAGGTAACCTCAAGAATGGAAGCCAGTGAGACAGATGAGGCCTGAGTCCCTGCTGACCGTGGGGCCTCCATGCCAGCCCTCTACTGCCTCCCTCCAGACTTGAGGCTGAGAGAGAAATGTGACCAACCCTGCTCAAACCGCTGTTAGTCGGGGCGCTCTGTTAAGAGCAGCCAGATCTAAGCCTGACGCTTCTTCCTCCTTCCCAAGCAAGACTGTCCCAAACATGTGAGAAGCCTGCAAGGCATCGGGACAGATTTTTTTCTGAGTGTGAACAGTATTCTGAGATTCAGCTTGTTTTCCTTTCCCTCGTTCTTCTTCACTTATTCTTCAGCCTCCCAACACTCTGCCACTAGTCCTTGAACTCTATCCTGGGCATTTTCCTTGCCTGCTCTCTTCCAACCTCCCAGCAGCCACACGGAGTGGGGACTATGAGCACGTGTCCTTGTTAGGGGGCTCATAGCCCTTTGGGAAGTGGCATTCATTAATTACTTGAATAATTAAAACATGCACGCATTGCCCCCGCTTCAAGCCCGACACCCCGCTGCCAGCACTCAGCCTTCCCCCACCTCTAAGGGCTGTGGGCTCAGGCTCAGCGGCCCCCCAGGCACTTGCCCCAGGGACCTAACTGAGCAGGACCGGCTACATGTCTGACCCCAAGCTCTTCCTTTGTCCAACTTCTATCGCACACACACCTAAAGCCTCTCCAGTCCACAGGGGGACCCAGAAGTCTAGCCTCCCAGACAGGACACCCCAGCACTTACTTTTTCAAAAGTGACCCTACAGGGGACAACAGGGCTTGAGGTCAAAGGAGGAAGCACAGCAAGGCCCCCCTGGTCCAGGGCCACCCTCAGAAGCCCTGGCTCCCCACCCCTGGGCCAGCCCCCAGCCCCTCCGGCGCCTACCTTGGCCCGCTGCATCCTGGGCGCTGAAGGAAACTGTTGCCGGCCTCCCCTCTTCGCAGCTGAGAACAGGACTGCCGGGCCGGCTGGCAGCTGCCTCATGTTTGCTCGGACCCAGACGTAATTGCAACGGCGGCTCCTCGCCCGCCCCCTGCCCACCCCGCCCTCCCCGCCTGCTTCTCCCCGCTCCACCCCTTCTGCTCTGCCTCCTGCCTCTCTCAACCCCTCTCCCTCTCTTTCCCTCCCTCCCCCTCTCTCCCTCCCCACCCCTCTCGGATAGATTCTCAGTCCCCCTCCCAGGCTCTCTGTCCCACTCTGGGTATAAATGGTTCCTAATCCTTCCCTCTGAGCCTGCGGAAGCCCCTTCGCCCGGCTCTTGGCTCTCCCTCCTGCTTCTGTTGCGGGGCTGTCATCTCTCTCTCTGCCTCCCCCGCTGTCTATCTCTTTCTCTAAGGCACACACCCTCTGCTCCCCTACCTTGGTCACAGGAGGGTGGAGTGGTGGGTGCAGAGAGCCTCTGCTGGGGGTGGGGAAGGAGAGCTCCGGCAAGGCACCAGCGCACCAGCGGGGTGTTGGGCAGGGAGCCTGGAGAACCTCCCCTGAGGCAGTTCCAGAACAGGCCAGCCCCTCCCCTCCTTGCTGCCCCCGTGCACAGACAACCTCAGGTCATCTTAGTGTAGATGGGCTGCAAAGAGGGATCTGGCCCCACGGAGGCCTGGGGTCCACCTGGTGCCCCCTGCAGACATCTTCCGGCCACCCTGGGTGCTGGGCCATCCTTTCTAGGGACATCATTCTGGGTCTCTGGATCGGAAATGGCCTCACTGATGGGGGCTCATCGCTGGAAAGGGTGACAGCCACCATGACCACATTATGTGGGTCACACCCAGGGGTCCTTCCAGCTCTTTCATGTGTCCCCCCCACCCTCTACTGCCTCCCTGTTACCCCACATGGGGCCTTGCAGTGGGGAGCCCTTCCGAGCTCCTTATGCTGCAGAAGCAGCCAGTCTCTCCAGGGCCTGGCCTCTGTCCCCAGCTGGGTCCGAGGTTGGGACCACATTAGGGAGGCTGAGGGACCTTGCCAGATCTGCTGGGGGGTGGTGGAAGTGGAGGAAAAGGGTGAGGGTCCCTGAGTTTGGGAGGGGGATTCTTCCTGCCCCTCAGGAGGGCAGAGTCCTGGCCACTCTCTCAGCCCGGGGAAACCACCCCGGAGCCAGGTGCCCAAAACCTCCGCCAAGTTTCCCTTTTCTGCACCCCGAGGAGCCAGCCTGTGCCAGCGGTTCCCATGGCAACAGAGCCTGAGACACCCCCCTCCTTTGCAGCATGCATGGGAGCACTTGCTCTCCCTTCTCTTTTTTTCTTTTTTCTTTTTTTTTTTTTTTTTTGAGCCAGCCAATTAGCTCCAACTTTCAGATCCTCTGGAGAAGAAAATAGTCTGGAGCTGTTGACCCACTGAGGCAAGAAAGACTGCTTCCAGCACAGGAGACAACCCAGGGGGCCCATCCTGCTGGACAGGTCGGACCGCATGCCAAGAGCCCCAGGAAGAGGGTGAGAGGCTGTCTGTTGGGGGTCAGGCTCTCTGGGGCCAAGTCACTGCGCGCTGCACCTGTATTCTGAGAAAGCTCCCGCAAGCAGGGACTCCCTGAGCATTCGGTCTTCACAGTGGCCTTGGGAGGAAAGTGTCATTATCTCACTTTGCAGATGATGAAAGAGAGACCCAGAAAAGTTGAAGGGTATGCCCAAGGTCATAGGCTAGAAATGGACAGACCGGAACACCGAGCCTGTCCCTCTCATCCCAAAGCGACCAGGTGGATCCCGCCCCACCTCGTATGTTCCACACAGCAGCTAGGGAACACCCACCGCGTCATCCGGGATAGGCCTGGCATTTCCCGTGGCACGGCGCGAGGAGGCTGGACCAGAGAGGCCCACTAGCCAGGCCAGCACCGCCCTCCGCAGAATCACCCACCTGCTACCTGGGCCTCCCACTGAACTTCCACTACTGAGGATGCTTTCTTCCAAGGGAAGGAGCTTTGAGCAGCAACATAACAGGACAACTGCCCTCCCCCACCAGGCCCCCATGCCGGTGGGCCTTGGGGACTTCCCACTGCAGCTGCCAGCAAGGAGGCAAGGACAGACTCCTCGTGCCACACTCATTTGGACTATGTGTGCCCCTTCCTCCCCTCTCCAGCCCCCCATACCCTGAGGACTATTCCAGAGCCCCAGGCCCTTCCAGCTGGGTCCCTCCGCGGGCCCTTGGGGAATGCAGGAATGACAAAGGGCAGGAAGGAAGGGAGCTGGAGGGCCTCCGGGATCAGGGCTCCTCCCCTGGGCCTCAGCTGGGCTGAGGTGTGGTCTTGTGGGCAACGGCACATTTTCCCCCACAGGGAGTCTGGGAGTTTCCAAAGATTCTTTGGCCGTGTATCAGACCCAAAAAAGGTTAAGAAAGGCTGCAAGAGAGCCTCACCTTGTGGGCTACAAACACTTCAGCCTGATGGATTTCAGCTGTGGTTTTCCTCACATTGGCCGGTAGGAGGAGGAACCCAAGGATGGGGGAGTTTGGAAGGGAGAAAGGAAGGGATCGTGCTAAGCCTGGAGGAAGGCTGCTTCCTTGTGTTACATTCGAGAGGTGGCAGTGGTGAGCATCTTCAGGTGGCCCTCTAGTCCCACCTTCGTAAGGGGCTCCCACCACCTCCACCCACGAGGCTTAGGGTCTTCCGGACCTTCCTCAAGTGCTGCTCACAATCCTCTCCAGTCCAGGGCCAAGTTCAAAGCCCTCATCCTCAGGCACTCCAAACCTTGTTTCTATGGAGTCCCCAGTCTATCTTTTTACCTGGGCCCTTTTTCTGGGCTCTGGTTCTGCTGGCCCCTGGTCAAGGGGGTGATGCAGGGAGAGAGAGAGAGACAGAGAGAGACAGAGAGAGAGAGAGAGATCCGCAGTAGAGTTTCAGGGCTTGGGCCCTCACCCCACCAGGAGCCTCTGCCTGTGACGAAAGCCCCTCTGGGTGGAGACGAGTCTGACCACACATGTGGAGTCCCCTCCTCACAGGAGCTCAAGAAATGTATGCTGCCCCCAAACAGCCTTCCCTGGGTTGCCACAGCACTCAGGCCATCACCATTACGCTGAGCCAGCATAGCTGTGGAATTGGAAAGCTACCGTCACCTTATTTGTGTCTTCTACTGATCCTTGAAATCTCTTCTGTTGCCCACCCTCTGGCGGCAGGATGGAAACCGGGCAGCCCTAGAAAGCCGCCCGCTCCTCCGTCACTTCTCGCATAGCAGTCTCACTCAGGTAGGGTGGCGTCTGTGGTCCGCAGGGCGGGTGAGGCGACCTGGCAGGAATAGGAGCCAGCCTGGAACTGGTCTGGGAGGTTTAGATCTCTCTTCCTACAGGCACCTTCAGGGGGGCCCAGGGCCTGGCCACCCCCTTACTGGGCTGTCTCATGCGGGTCCCAGGGGGCTCCCTGCGGCAGCTCACCTTCCGCCTCTGCGGTCTGTTCACTCCTCAGGCAGCCTCCTGGGACCCAGCCCGAGAACCCACACTGACCCCCTCGTCACCTGGGGCCTGGCCCGAGGGCCTACGCTGACCCCCTTGTGCGACCTGTCACCCAGGCCAGCAGCCCTCTCCTTGGCTCTGCTGGCAAAGCAGCCAGCCTGTCTCCTGCTCTCTAGAGCGTGCAGCTGGCGGTGAGACATCAGTCCACCCAATTTCTGAAACTGCAGGGGACACCGTGAAGCTCTCTCTGAAGCCCCCTCCCTTCTGGCTTGAAGTGAAGGATGGGCATCCCACCCTCACCCCTGGACTTAGTTCACCTCAAAATCTCCCTGGTCTAACCTCAACATCAGACTCTTGGGTGTCCTCAGTGTGGTGAGGGTTCGGGTCACCTAAATTCTGCATCACTCGTGGGCAGAGGTCGGGGCTGGGTGGGTGGGTCACCTCTCTGCACATGCCCCACTTTCCTCCAGGGGACAGCAGTGTTTGGTCAGCACTTGGAAGGTGAGGAAGTGCGAATGCTCGCTGCTCCAGGAGCGGCACGTTCAGGAAGCACAAGGGAGGGTTGGGCACCAGGAGGAAGAGGCTTCAATCCAGTAGCACATGCTATGTGGACCGGGCTGGCCACCAACCTCCCAGTTCAATCCCTGGAGTTTGGGCCTGGGCAGACATCTCCAGGCGAGAAAAGTAGAGAGGTACTGACTCTGGGAGGTTGGAAAAGAGGGACACTCTCCATGATCCTCTGGGGCTGGGCCTCGAGCTGACCCCAGAGAATTCAGATACTGCCTGAAATGCCACTATCAGTTGACGCCTTGGGTTAAGTTGTGCCCCTTCTACTCAGCTCATACCCAGTCTCCGTGCCTCAGTTTTCTCAGCCATAAATAGGTCAATGACAGTGCCTGCATCTGAGTTCGTTCATGTGAAGTGTTTAGCACACTTCCTGGTTCATACTCGGAAACTCAGTACGCGTTAACTCTCTTTCTCTATCCCCTCAGGTAGCCTGGGCTGGCCCCTTCCTTTGCACACTGGAGCCAGCTGAAACTGCCCTGGCCAGCCACCTGGGACGTCAGACGGCCAGGCCCACGTGGCATTTCTCTGGCAGTTCTGGCACTCATGGCCCACAGGGCCTGTGCTCTGGGATGGCCAGGCTGGAGCACCTGGCAGAATTCCCAGGGCCTCCCATCTGTCATCCCTGCTGCCACAGGGACAGCAAGGACACTTGGATCAAATCTCCTTGGAGACAGGGCCTCCCTCCCACACACCCTTGGGGAATAGGCACTGGCAGGGTGCCCAGAAGGAAACCTCCAGGGCCACCAGGATCAGGGGACCTGAATCCAAAGCCTGGCTAGGCTTCAACTTGTGAGTCCTTGTTGAATCTGCCACATAGCTTTCCGGAGCTTCATTTGCTCCGCAGTGAAGCCAGGATGAAAATCCCCATCGCCTTCAGGGAGCATCGTAAAAACAGGAGAACGGGACCACAAAGGGGCTTTCTTTCACACATAAAGTAGGATTAGCATTTTAGGATCCCAGCATTTTAAAATTGGGAAAATATGTAATATGTTTTTCTCTGTGGCTATTTTTGTCTCTCTGTCACCTGCTGAGGGCCACCCCCAGGTCCAGTTACCAGAGCCTACAGCTTACTCTC